TTTATAGCCAGCTTAACCTCTCATTTGTATGACAGTTGCAGAAAATTCCATTATATTGACAACAACATGAACAATGTGTGAACAAAACAAACAGACATAATAGGAAAAAATGTCAAAAATAGAGGTACAGCAGTCAACATTGTGTTATGATCTTAATCACTATAAAAACAAAGAAATATGTCAACAAAGAAAAACAAAATGGCATATAGACAAAGCACATAGACAAACATGAAAGACAAGAATACAAAAAATGACCTTAGCACAATTACACAATGGCGGGATGTATAAGTACCGAGCCACACCAAAAGGATATTACCAAAAATGGACTAAACAGTAAAGGTTAATAAATTACAAAGGCAAATAAAAGAATACTATTACACGTAATTAAGATGATAAACAACGTCAGTACCTTAAATCTATACTTCAAGACGTTTTATTTGTGAAGTTGATACGAAATATCTATCAACAAGGTCTTGGTATCGTCCGATGAACTTTTTAGAAAAAGGATTTCTGATTACCCCCTTGGTATCAGCTCTTCATTTTTGCACACACAGATCATTCGATACGAACACATGCTTCTACCAGCCTTTGATATCATTTGTAAATGCTTTGTACTAAGCAATGAAGCAGAAAATACCCTTTTGTTTAATCTAAATAGGCTTGGATATTGAACAGAAGATCCCACACAGATCACTTAGACAAACCCAAAACCAAAATTGATCGAGAAGATCATAATTATATATATGATATAAAGTCAACGCCTTCAAGAAATATAGCTTAAGATTTCTCCCTTTCAGACTTGAAACTTTTCCTATCGAAATAGCCAAAAACTGTCAATACAGATAAACCAATTAATCATATTTTCTAAATATATTACACTTCGTAATTATAAAACAATAAGAATAGAAGTAATAATAGAAGCAAAGCATAGTTATAATCAGTCACATATGGGGAGGTGTAAATTATATAACCTACAGATATTGATTGATTGATTGATTGATTGGTTAACTTACTATAGGCACCTAAGGCTTTATCACTATGAGACATTGAAAAGAAAATTCTCTTTTCCTAAATTTTACAGTAAAAAAAAGAAATTGATAATTACGGAATAACTAATCCAAGAATTCAAATATAGAAAAATATTTAACAGGTGACCGAACACCAAATAAATTAACAAATGCACGTACCCCATGAGTTAATTGTCAGTGTTGCTCGGTCACGAGTTGAATATTTTTCGATATTTGAATTCTTGGATTAGTTATTCTTTTTATTACATTGATCATGGACTTTTTAAATGGAAATACAATAGAAAATGAAAGAAATTTTATCTTTTTCTACACAGTCTCAATTGTTTTAGATGCAACGTCATCGACAATGTCTTGACAACACCCATATTTGTTTGTCATCAGAGGAGCGAAATTATCAAATTTATTTCAGATGTAAAATTATCGTTTTTAATTACACTGGGAAATCACGGTTTTTGTAGTTTATAAATGTACATATCAAGAGTTTTCTTGGATAATGTAAATTGTTTTGTTCAACCTTACAGACTTAACATGGCATGGCACAATATGTACTCTTTAGATAAAGTAATTACTATAACATGCTGTAAATAATACAATTAGATTATGTAAAAGAAATGGCTTTTTTTGTGGTTTTCGAGCAGTAAATTCCCAGACGATTTTCTGATTAAAATTAATTGAATAAAGAGGAAATTGACAGGCCAACTTAAAAACATGTCCTTCTTTTTTCTTTTTCTTTATATCAGGTTAAAGTACTTTTAAACATACTTTATTTCCAAAATATGTCATATAAACAGGATTTGGTTTTCAAAAAAAACAAAATTTTAATAATTTTGATATATGCTAATCTCTTCCTCGTGATCAAATTATATTTCTGTTGAAACCAGTATAATGCCGATGTCAAGAGTTGTTAAATAAGATGAAATGACACTTGCCGCTTAATGCCTTTTTTGCCGAGTTAAAAGGAAACATCCGAACTATTTTATACTTTCAAGTACGGGAGTGCAATGGGAATAAAAAGTATTATTTTATCTTTTTTTAAATATCGACTTAAACCTTAAAATCTCCAACTGTAATCTTGGTATTGTCATTTTTGGTTTTGAATTACACAAATTTTCATTTCGGAATTTTCTACTTTATTCTTGATATTATCAACTTTAATTTCGAAATTACATGTATTAACTTTAATCATGGCTCTCTCGAATCACAAAATGTCATATATCTTGAGAAACCCTTTAAGAATAAATTATAGAGTCTAAAAAGAGCTGTTTGTGAGAACAGTCGAAATTTCCGACGTTAAAGTCAACATTTCCGATAAAGTTGATAATTATTAAGATTAAAGCCGACAATTCTGATATTAAAGTTGATAATTCTGAGATTTAAGTTAATAATATCACGATAAAATTCAAAAATTCAGAAATAAAAGGTGAAAATTCAAAGATTTAAAAATACTAAATAATAATTCGTCCCTTATAAGCTTCTGTTTTTTAAGCAAGTCATGGTGGTCATATAGAGGAATATTCTCTTTGATTGTAAAGCATTAAGTTTTAATATAGTTACAAATAGCCACAAAGGTACAGATGCATGATTTACATATCAAGTTCTTCAATTGCAAGCAACTCGACTGTTTCAACTCTCTATGGGCGTATGTTGTGGTGACTTCTAGTTCGCTTCATTTTGAATATGATGAGTCAGGAATCATTAACGTTGTTTTTCCAAGTTATATATGATATTTTCGATAGAGATGAATTTGGAAATTCTATACTTTTGCCAATCTGTAAATATTAAGACACTATATAGTTATTTTTCCATCCAAATTATGTTTTGCAATCTTTGATTAGAAAATAAACACATTTGTTTAACATGTTTTAGTACCTTTAACACGACTGAGTTCAAATGAAACAAATCTTTTAATGAACAAAACAAAACACATAAAGCTAGTAAAAACTGAAAGTGCATATTGTTTACTGGACTAGTAGGTCATGCATGAACAAATATTAATTATTAAATGGTACACTGGTGAATGATACAGTTCAGTGTCTATTTGATAGGAAATGTTTGAATTCTACAAGTTTTGATTTCAGTGCCTTAATTACTCAATTTGCTTAACAATATGCCATTTATCTTGTCAAAAGACCTCCTAAAAGGAAATTAAAACATTGGTATGGATACAACAAATAATTTGTGCAAATACAATACCATAATCAGAAATTGAAAGGGATCATTTACACTACAATATTACATTTTACAGATATTTTATGCTTCAGTTCAATGTTATATCAATTAAACATTAATGAAAACTATGGTCGAACGTTTGTGCTGAATGAGCAAAAATGAGGGGTAGATACATAAGTTATTCAGGTTTCTGTACTATACTTTATAAGACAAAGCAATGGTAAGCTAAGAAAAGTTACTTAAAATCACCTCCATAGACTTCTGAAACAGTATTTATGGATGCTGCGAAAGTTTAAAGGTGATTTAACTTCTTTATATCTTGTCATTCATCTTGTCTGTTTCCAATGCCATGCATATTTTTTTTTTTGCCAAGCACCTTCCTATGTTTAAAACAAAATTGTAACTTACATCTCATAAAAACGTCTTGTAAGAAGTTTATCACTTATGCTCCTTCAATATATTTTCCAGCAGCTTTCCATTCATTCTTTTCATACATTCGATAGGACAAACGCATAGACATCTCCTTTTGCCAACGATTCTAATTTCTCTAGAGATTGGAAATATTTTTTTTAATGTTTCATATTTGTATTGAATTATTGTATATAGTCTTTAAAAAAAGACGTCATTTATGAAAATGCATATTCATAATGCGAAACATAAACATGATTGCTTCGAAGAGATGGACTAGCTAGTGTGAGTTTGTGATTTTGGTGATATACATGCCGTCTATGTTCTTCTGCACTTGATCCATTGATTATTTTTATGTTCATTTTGAAAAGATGGTTTTTCCTGGTATATCTTGTTTATAGTCTTTGTATGACTCTCAAGATTTTGGAACGCAAAAGTCTATCTTTTAATCAAACGATGTTCAGTTTGTACAGTTTTCATGATTCTAATAAATGAAATAGCAATACCACTGAATGTTACCAAATCTGAAATTATGATTGCCAATATGGTACGTATTGCTGACAAATATTCGTTTGTTTTGACAGTCTGACAATGATACCGGATTGAAGACAAATAAGTGAAATTCCATGGGGTAAACAAGAAGGCACGACATGCGTACATGTAGCATGGTTTGGTAGACCACCAGGACCTCTTGATATAATTCCTTGTTTCGTATTGTATGAGCTTACGTTTTCCCAACATTTGTTATTCACAGGAAAACATGTTAATTGTTTATACTTACCTAGGCTGTCGAGTCTTTATATTTTGGTTTTCTGTCTTGATATTTTCTTTTTTAAATTGAGAAAGATTTGCGTTTTATATGTAGGCTACAGGTGTTTGATCCATGTACCTGATTTCCTTATTTGTTTATAATTGAAAACTTATATAAACTTGTGTAGTGTATTGCTAGTTTGTTTTTTTCACCAAATTGTAAGCCATGATTAATTATAATGAGCACTGAGTAGATGCCACCTCAAAGGAATCACGATCCCAGTAGTCAGCCTCTTTGTGTTGACACAAAATATGATTGATACGTTAGTTTTCTGTAAATTTGCTGTTGAAAAAATGTTAAATGAGGTTTGTCTACCCCCAAGCGTAGATAGCTTTAGATGTAAATGGCACAATTTTCGGAATTCTTGGTTTTCAGTGCTGTTCTACTTTTTGATTTGGTCTTGCAAATAATTGTTTTGATTCGATCGCCACTGATGAATCCTATATAGACTAAACGCGTATTTTTGTGTTTGCATTATAAAAACGTATCTGTTTTTCGTAGTCAGTATCGTAATGTTAATTACAAATTCATGAATCTCAGGTTTTAAATATGGTGTTTTATATCCAAATAATATATATTTTCAGGACGGCGAGGAAAAGCCACCACCATCAGAAAATCAGTTTGCCATAAAACCTAAACTGCCACCAATTAGCAGAAAAGAGGTAAGTTAATACGTTAAATTAATGCATTTACCAAAACTGGTACATAAATGTGTTCTTAGGGTTATTGTGTTTTTACTTTGAAATACTGCTGAAAGATAGACAGCCGTATATGATAATATTTAACATTAGTCTAGCAAACATTTTGAACACTCAATTCAATCTTCCTTACCACCAAATTTATATAATAACTTCCTTGTTAACCAACTCTAGAATGACGCGATGTTTAACTCATATCTTTACCCTTGGGGTCTAGTTTATCATAAATATGTAAATATATTTTTGAGACTTTGAAAACATCATCAACAATGTTAATAGAGTTTTACAGTGTTCATTGTTAACAAATGTTCGGGTACGTGCTTTAAAAGGTGTCATCTATATAAAAATTGTTTGACAAGGCAGTTAAAACATTTAAAGTAAAACAATGTCATTCTATGACTCATTGACACCTAAAGTTGTTCCTTGGTTTCATTTTCGTGCTTTAAAGTGTTTTTATTCATTTTGTTCTTCAAACTATAATTGGCCATGACTGTGCTTTTAAGTTGTGGCGTATTAACATTATGATATCATTTCATCTTCTTGCTAAATCCTAATCATCAATCTATCCATCGATGGAAACTTTTATAGCGGAAGAAAAAACTTAAACAGGAAATTACCTTCCATCATTAAAGAAATTAATTATCCTGGCCTGTAATCACTTTTTTGTTATATCCTTTATATGGTTAAAAACATTAAGCAGTAATTACTTTAACATTACATAAGCAGTACAGGAAAGTTAATATAATCATTACTTTGTTTGTTAGGACGGAATATCTTTTGAGGCATTTTTTATAACAAAATAGCGAAAAGTAGCTTCATTTTTAATATTAGTTTTCGGATTTGATAGATATTTTGTACTTGAATGAAAAGACTACATTGTACATTGTTACATTTAATGTCAAATTTCTTTGATGTTTGTCCTGCTGATATTTTCGTAATCTATTACTCTTTGTGTTTTATAAAAATGTTGAAATCATTCAAAAATAACCAAAATATAATATGAGACCTACTTTAAGTTACCTCAATATTTATCTCGAGGCAGATAAAATTCTATTACCAGTCTCAAACAGCAATAATAGCAATGTGATTTTATTTTTATACAAAACTAACTCACTTTGAAATGTTATAAGCATTTATGCACTTAGAAACGACAATACAAATATTTTGCCTGCATGACTAATTCAAAGTGGTGGATATAAAAACACATACAGATTGATTTACCTAACTTTTAGGATTAGACCTACTTGATATATTTAAACAAATTGATAAAGTAAATTACAAACTTGATATTCTTTATTAAGCAAAATCATAACAAAATACATTTATGTATACACATAGTATACATAGGGTAGTGAAACATATTGTAACACGTTTGTGCTCGAAATATAAAGAAGGGAGAAGGTATAATGAGGCCAATATTTTGGCTCCTTGAATTCGAAAACCAATAAATATTATCAATAGGCCAAATATCAAATAAAATCATTCAGATCTTCATAAAACATTTGTCTGTCAGACATCGGTATTTATATTATGAATTTTGTATTAAATATTGGCATTAGGGCTGTAAACTGCTTGCATTTAGTGCAAAACAGCAACACTGCTAAACAAAAACTCATTTTGAGATGTTGTCATTAATATGATCAAGAGGTTTACCTAAAAAGATATTTTGCTACAAAATGTATTTTACAAATATGTCAATGTGTGTAAAATATCTTTTTGAGTAAATCTCTTGCTCGTATACATTTGGACCAAATTTATGTGCGAAATGTACATTTTTAAGTCATATACATAATTATTTACATGTTCATGACGTCAAAGTAACACCACAAGTGACCGTTTAGCACCACAGTTTCCAGATTGAAGAAACTGGTTCATTCATTGATAATATTGCCATAGCTTTAAAAGATTGAATAATTTTACTTATTTTGCTAAGTATGGCTCTTTTCATAACTCCTTTCCCCAAATTACATAGGTATTTCAAATTACTTGAAATGATTTACACTTCCTCATTCAACATCTCCTTTTATTCATAATTAATACGAAGACGAATAAAACGATATATGGGATTTACGTCAATGAGACAGCAATTGAAAGACACTTTAAAACAAAATAAATCTTGAGATTAATATACCGGTCTTCAATCGAAGACAAAGGTCTATACAATACGACAACCTCTAAATCGCTCCAAAGTTAGGAAAGTAATGAATGCATTTAATAGCGGCTACCAAAAATGTGCCAGCAACACCAAACGCTCCTTTAATGGTACATTGTAAGACCAATTAAAATATGACACAACCACAGACGAGCTTCATTAGTTCATAGTATATATTATCCATCTTTGTCTGATGATTTATATTCACCAAAGGATTTACGAGCACTCTGTGATAACGTTTCCAATTGTTTATATTATCGACTATTTGCATAACATATATTCTTGTCGATGGATAAAAAAGATATACCTTTAAAAATTGTTTTAATTAGCAAAATAGAGTAAAACTGAAATATGGTGATTTTCAACAAAAAAAAGCTTTAAAATGGTAGACGCAGAACTAAACTACACCAAGTAGCTTTTGAACTTTTGACCAGTGCTTGCCTGATGAAGGTTATTCATTAATTCGCGCCTTTTTATACGTTAAAGAACATTTACTTGTGCTTCAAGAAATTAAATGGACTTGAAATATTAATGTTGTTATTTACTGTTTATGAAATAAATTACCGTTCCATATCAAATCGATGTTTTTTGAAAACATGTATCATATCCTGAGAAGTCGATTTTATAAAGGGTTTCTTATCTCAGTTTGACATTTAATTGTTTTTACGCGATTTATTATAATACACCGTAATAAAGCATTTTAATAATATTGGTACTTAAAAATTTCAAGTACTAGAAAAATATATCTACATTAGGAAATGCCTGTACCAAGTCAGGAATATGACAGTTGTTTTCCATTCGTTAGATGTGTTTAAGCTTTTGATTTTGCCATTTTATAAAGGACTTTCCGTTTTGAATTTCGCTTGGGGTTCAGTATTTTTGTTATTTTACTTTGTTTTCGATACGCTGGTACTTTCTAGGGAGTTAACATAAAAAAAAATATTTCCCATCTTCATTGCAGATGTAATAGACATGTATCGGTTGACTTGCGGGTAGGAGGTATTTATTTTGTTGCTTTTCTTTCTTTTGTTTTACTGATCAATGATTATTCATGTTTTTGTGTTTTAAACCTACTGATTCATTTGGAAAAAAAGAGGAACAATATTACACAATAATGATTTTATAAAATACAAGTTAATTTGTACATTGGTAGATGCAACTTTTTTCCGCAAAAAGGAAGGCATAAAAGAATGGATGAAGAAGATGATTTATGATTTCATGATCCTCGATCTTTGATCTTTTAAAGCTAAACTTAAAAAACGATATATTTTACGGAAACTCAGGATTCGACATCAGGGCTGCTTGTTCTCTTTAGCCCTTCTCTGGGAAAAATAAATTATAGCACAAAATAATTGTATATACTTTCGCAAGGCAAATGCATGATACATGGCTATAGATTCATGACAATTTTTCGATAAATTTGCTTCTATTCTTAATATATACTTCGCCAACGATTTTTGGCCGGAAATAATTGTTGCCATTAATATGCTGTCATTTGGTCAAATCATTCATTATGTTTGAATCTATGTAGGTATACGTAGACATGTTTATCATTTTTGTATTGTAATAATATCATTCAATGGATAAACTCCTTTTAAGGCTGTAATTTGTTTGGCATATAAGTAAACGTCAGAAATCTAGTGTTTAGCCAAATTGACGCATATCCACAAATACTGTTATTTTTGAGAAATCAATTGTACTTTCAATTTTTTGGGGAAGTTCATACATACCATATTTGATCAAACATAGTGATTTATACTTTACGTTTAATGGACAATAATGGATCTGATTGACTGGTGTTTTCTTGTGTTGTAATACTAGACATAAAATTATCAAATAATTATATTCTTTATTTTACAAACTATTACCAGTACAATTTCTCATATGATGCCTTTATTTCTCCGGTAATTTTCGAAGTTAAAATTGTTTATAATTTTTAACAGGATTGAATTATTTTCAAAAATACAGTATACATTTAGCGATTAGAAATCGATTAATTTAAGAATTAGAACTGTGGTGTGATTACCAATGAGACCACTTTCAACCAACGACCAAATAACGTATAAGTCAACCTATCAAGCTAATAAAAACGTTGTTTTAATATGACTACTTATATTTAATTGAAGGTTTAACTTAAATATGATATTTGCACATTTGATAAGAGAGGATTGAAGTTTGAATGAAAACACACTTTCAACAAATTGTTATGTACTTCGCTAACCACACTGTCGTGTGTGTGCTATATTCGTTTGTTGTTGTTGTTGTTATTGGTTTTGGTAGGCGGCTTACTTATGTAGTAATTGCGCCTTAAATTCATATAACATAAATATTATGTATATATACTTTCATTCCTTAATTTATTTTTAGTAGTAAGTTTTGGCGAGTAATTATATGAAACTTTGACAATATGGTTGACTGTGTTATAATAAAGTATTTATATGTAGAGAGAGAAAAAAACGCATAACAGAAGGTACATGTAATAGGAAAATGAGAGAGAAAAAAAAGCAAATGATACTTCCTAATGAAATGTACATTATTAATTGATAGGTATCATAAAATTGTTTAGAAATTTCATCTGGTTGTTCAACTTTGTGTCGTCTGTGATATGCTTATAAAAAAAAGTATATTTAGAAACATAAAACAAGACATGTGCTAGTTAAATGCTACCAATGTAAGGACGTCTCCCACGATTGATGTAGCAAATAAAGAATCCTTAAGTAAGGATTGATTGTAGTTTTTCCTTTTCCATAACGGCAAGTTGCGTTAATTTTTCCAAATAAATTTCCAAAGACATACTGGTATTTAGTGATTC